TCACTTTTTTATGTTATTTATAACTATTTTAATTTTTTTATTTGGTAAGTTAAATTTCTAAAAATAAAAATCATAAAATTTTAATTTAAACTAGTCAAGGATAAAAAACTAATTCAAAAAAAAAAGAAGAAGGTAAAAGTTCTAAAACAAAAATAAATAACGAATAGAAGGACAAAAATAGAGTAGAAAGAATTTTTCCAATGGAAGAGGTTTAAAAATAAAATAATAAATCCAATTTTTGGAATGAAAAAAGGAAAAATCTAACAAAAAAAATAATCAGTTTACAAAACATGAATATTATTATAATTTCATTGATTTGTATAGTATATGCACAACATAGAGCATGGTGTGATACAGATGATAATGGTAAATTACAATATATTGAAGATCCTGAATGGAAATGTATTTATAAAGAAGAGAATTATACATATCATGGATTTATAATTGCTTCAAATGATAAAAAAGAGATATTTGAAGTATATCCAGACTGTTGTTCACCTCATGAAGATGAAAGACAAACTTGGAGAAATACATTTACTATTATAGATGATTATATTATAAAACCAAAAGAATTAAGATTTGTTTTTGTTGGTAGAGAATTTAAAAGAGAATATACATTAATTACAATTGATGAAAAATTAACAGGCATTGATTGGTATATTAATACAGACAATATCATTCCTCGTTCTACTATTACTCTTAAAGGTAGAAATGAAGATACAGAATTACATCCATACTATATTGAAGCTGTTACTTATAGATTCAATATTACTAGTCCAGCTACTAATGTAAGAGAAACTGTTTATTTGAATTTTACAGCAGGATTTTCACCATTTGTAAATATAAGTGAAAATATTCAAGTTAAATTAATAAACCAAAGTGATGATATTGATGAATGTCAATATAGATATACTAAAAGTAGTTCTGTATTTAATATGGGAACAGATAATTCTAATTTAAAAGTAATTAACATTTGTAGCGCTGGTATTCATCAAAGAATGGCAATTTGTAAAAAAGATGTTCCTGACAATTATATAGATTGTAGTTGTCAATATGAAAATTTTGAGTATGTCAATCATGCAATGGACTGTACTTATCTTAGTGAATATTATACATTTAAAGCTCGTCCATTACAAGAATTTATTCCATATGAATATTTATGGAATAGTTTAAGTACTGAAGGTGTTGAAACTCAACTTACTATTCCTAAAGGAAAGAATATGACATTTCAAGGAAATGTTGTGTTACCATCTGCACCTTTATTTATTTCTGGAACAATTTATTTTGTTGGAGGAATAACTATACAAAGAACTGATGCTTTATATGATCTTGGTAACTTTTTTATTTCAAATATAAATATTGAAACAAATATAGATGAATCTCCTATATTTTTTATTGGTAAATGTGCTATGGATCCAAATGAATGTGACAAATTATTTAAGGAAAGTGAAATAAAAGAAGAAAACTGTGGAGGTACAAAGTCAAGATTTATTCCATATAGTAGTATTCTTGGATGTAAATGTGTACAAAAAGGAAAAAATACTTATATTCAATCTGATTGTTCTATTTCATCAAAACAACGTTTAAATAGACTAGAATTAGTACTTACAGGAGATTATGAAAGTGGAAATGATTCTGTTTATTGGAAAAGTTTAAATATAAATCCATTGAATATTCCCCCAAATAACAGCATTTCTATAACTGGCAAAGAAATAATTATTGAAGGAGATTGTGATTTTACAAGTCTTAATACAATTCAACTTCATAGCATATTAAGATGTGGTAGACTTATTATGAGTTCAAAAACAAGAATTGTTGGATATAGTGGAAGTGAACTAAGAACATATTCTATTGAAATTGATGGTGAAGTAAATAACCTTAATGAAGATGCTCTAATTCATATGTCTGAAGGAAAGTTTTCTTCAGACAGTTCTTTAATATTAACTCTTACTACTACAAACACTAAATGCTTTGAATTAGCCAGCTCTTTTCTTGACTTAAATTATGGAATGAATGGTATTAATGTTACTAATAATGAATATACACTTCTAGTTCTTGACAGAATAGTTAGAGTGTGTCCTAAAGATAATTTAGATGATGAAATTAAATGTTATCCAACTGAGTCTAGTTTAGAATCATTTAAATATGACCAATGTCCATGTGATGGAGAGCATTGTTTCTATTATATGGATAAATTGAAATATAAACATATTATGCTTCGTAATGATAGGTCAATAACAGGTATTATTAATGCTGAATCAGACTTAACTATTGGTTCTTATGGACATGCGTCTATTCTCAGTATTAATGCAATTAATAGCATAACACTTACACTAAAAGGAGATTTAACTTTTAGCTATAAATCAAAATTATTTAACACTTTCATTGTTGATGGTGGGAAAGTAGTGGTTAGTGGAAATGAAATACAAGCACTTGTCATTTCTATTAAAAGTAGTAGTTCTATTACATTTACTAGCAAAATAACTTTTATTAAGTTAGATGCTAAAAAGTCTATTGATATTAGAATGAGTGATGGAATTGTGTCAATGCAGACAGGAAAATTGAATGATCTTAACGGTAAAATTGTAGCAGACAAAACAGAAGGGTGTATAATTGGTGCATTTTCTAGTAATAGTTACACTTGCCTAAGTTGTGGAGAAGGAATAATTAATGGAACATGTGGTTCACATGTTAAAGTTGAAAACTGCCAGTCATATCACACTTTAGGTCATTGTATTGAATGTATTAATGGTTATTTTCTTAGCGATAATTGTT